ACATTACGAATCACACAGGTTCTGTGAATGGATGACTGCTTCAAGTCCGAAGAAGAGTCTTAAAAATAACTTTTGACACAAATGTACTGCTGTGTCAATGATAGAATACGTTTAACTAAAAAAGGAAAGTCTGAGAACGTCTACAAGCTTATAATTTTGAGTGTTTCCGGCACGGGTATCACATATCTTGAAAAGGGACATTACGTCGATTTGTTTGACATTATCTAGGTTTTTCTACAAGATGTTAGCTTAGCACTTAGTTGTACGTGTTGCCAAAACTTCATGAGACTCGTTATCAACCTTTGGTTCTGATGTGATGTAGCATCTGCCTCTGAGATGGCATTACTGGAGGTGAGTGGTATGTGTTGATGATAATTACATTGGATTCTTGTCTCAAATACACTTAATTGAGATTCAAAGATATAAATTAGTTGCGCGTCAAATTTTTCATATCCATTCTGGAAATTACCTATACAAATTTGCTGAATTTCAAAAATGAGAGAGATAAGAAATAATTATAATCACTGTACAGTGTACACTGTCAAATTACAAGCCATATACATGCTACCAGTAAGTACACACAACGCGGGCGCGGTGATGATTTACCGTAATTCTCCTCAGTTTTTCGTAATTTATAACTTTGAACATAACCTCTCTTCAGAAAGCACAACATAAAAATAACCCACATAATCATGCAGATGCGATGTTGCTATTCAACCAACTTTCTTTTCAAAGATAAAAACTACAGACTAGGACCACTCCGCCTAATAAAACACATGCAACCAATAATGCGTGTACTTTATTAGACTGATTCCTCCATAGATGGACGTTCACAACGATCCTAGGGAGCAAACATGGAACGACTGTTTGCACCCTAAAAACTACCTAGTTTGCAAGATGACATCTTGTAGGTTTTTTTGACGTTTTATAAGTTTTTTACATGATACTCGTGCGGAGTTGATGATTACTTTTTTTACATAATTGACCACCAAGAATTCATAGTTGGAGGGAACCGACAAGTTGGAACGTGTACAGAGTACAGCAGGCCGAATTTGCCTAAGTGTGGCTTCTGGGTTACCAGTCCTGTGGTAGAATCACTGACAAAAGTGGGCGTGGTTCTCTTCGCTGTAGAATGATCTCAAATTCATACAGCTTTTGACCTTTGTCGATCAAGTTTGTGAACGCATTCATTTTCGGCAAAATAATAGGCGCCTGGTTTCTTCATATTATTAATCGTTCGATAATTATGAACAACGGCAAACGTTCTCACCTTTTCTCTCGAGAATGATTCGGGTAGCGTCTGTTTCAGCAGTGCCTGGAGTACAATTCCTCGAAAGATAAGAGAACTAAGCTCACCCTTTTCTCAGAGATTCTACTCCCTCATTTCAAAAATTAACAGTATGATTATGCCCGCATTATTTGAAGCTAATTTATACGCAGGCATTGGGCTAAAATACCGCATAGTGCATTCATAAGTCTGTAGACACAATTTAATTATAAAGATGTTTCGCGAATGGCACGAGATTAGAAATTTAACAGGCAGATTTAAATTCGGACAAATCTGGAGTAGTGGATCTTAGTTAGTTACTTAAATTAATTAGGTCTTGCCTTGGAATATAGCGCTTGCTGTTTTAATTTGGAAGGTAAACATAGAGCCAGTTTCGTCAAAATGGATTGAAATAAGCCGTTTGGAATGTTTAACACAGATATTATAAATAAATAATAGTTTAAAAAACCTAAAATACACGCTTTTATATATACAGGGTGTTTCAGTTCATTGTTGCATAACTTTAAGATTCGATAGAACTTTTAAAATTAATGCATAAAGTCTATATAAACACCCTGTGTTTAAACTTACTTTCTAAAATAGTTTTTTTTAAATATTCCGAACAATATTTGCTGTATAACAGTGAAAATTGGTATATAAGTGGTTTTTGGTGCGACAAAACGAACCATGGGCATAGTTTTACTGTAGCCGCTAGAGGGCGCTCTCTACTGTACCTGTAGTGTATTAAAATGACCGAAATTTTTTTATTAGTGCAATTTTTTGCTTTTTGAACAAAAAAACTGATTTTTCGCACTTTTCTGCATAAGAAAGCTCTCCTGTGAGTTTTCGATATAGTTAGCCGTTTTTGAGATATTTCGATTTTTAAGGTTCGATGCATTTTTAATTATTTATGGGAAAATAATATTTTTTTTACATTTTCGATTTGGGCATTACAAGTAATTAAGATGATCGTTTAGATTGTGTTTTAAAACACAGCAATAATTCCTAACTCCAAATAAACACAAAAAACAGGATATTAATTTGTTTGATTTTCCAATATTATTTTTAACAAATTAAATTAATTATTTACAACTAAAATGCTATTGGATAGTTAGGACAAACATACAAAATCTAAAGTAGTTGCTCGAAATGTAAACCCAATTGTTCAATATACAATTCACATCTACGAATGATCGAACGTGGTATAGCATTATTCAAATAAGGCCTTATTTCATCACATGCATTCCGGATTCTGTCTATTAGCATATCTCTTGTGGTTACAGGAGTCTGGTACACTTTTTCTTTTAGAAATCCCCACACAAAGAAATCTAATGGATTTAGGTTAGGGGATCGTGGAGGCAAGGCGACTGGTCCTCCACGGCCGATCCATCTTTCTGGATAATTTTCATCCAGCCAGTTTCTAACTATTCTCGAATAATGAGCTGGACAACCATCAAGCTGGAACCAGGCCAATCTTCTTAAATCTAACGTAACATCATCCCACATATTTGCATGTTCAGCCTTTAAAAATTCCAAGAAGGTCGCAGCATGTAACCTTGCAGGCAAAAGGTAGGGTCCAACTAGTCGATTACGGTAGATACCAATCCACACGTTCACACTAAATTCATGCTGAAAATTTCTTTCCCGAACTGCATGCGGATTTTCATGCGACCAAATATGTTGATTATGAAAATTTACCACTCCACGTCTAGTGAAGCATGACTCATCGGTCCATAAAACGTTACTTAAAAACTCCCTATTATTATCAGTTCTATCAAGAATCCACTGACAAAATGTGATTCTTCGTTCTCCGCCCCCTGGCTGTAGTCTTTGCACAGGTTGCAAATGGTAAGGACGTCTATGGTCATTTCTAAGAACACGGTGAACATGGCTTGCTGAAATTCCCACGCAGAATCATACGGGCAAATCTGCGCTGACGAACATTTATGTTTTGATCCCCTTGGAGATTTCCAAAACCATTTTCAATTATTTGGGGATGCACTCTTACAAATACTGAGCGAGTTGGATGTCGTCTGTTTGGAAATCTTCGTGCGTATTCTCTGGCTGCTTCTGCTGCGTTTCCATTTACAAAGCCATGCACAGAATGAATATCCGCTAACTCTTGATTGGAGAAAAAAATGGCATTTTTATAAAACTTACAAAAAAAAGAGGTAAAAGAAACTAAATTTCGTGCATTCACAATTGAAAAAAACGTTTCAGGTTTCAACAGACAACAAAACTAACTGTCAACTAATTGATGTTTAAACTTATTCTGCTTTCAATTTCAAAAATATTTAGAGGCACAGCCTACTTCTAAAAATTATCCAGATACTGACTTTTTAACGTTATTTTATCATAAATAATTAAAAATGCCTCGAACCCTAAAAATCGAAATATCTCAAAAACGGCTAACTATAACGAAAATTCGCAAGAGAGCTTTTTTATGTTGAAAATTGCGAAAAATCAGTTTTTTTATTCAAAAAGCAAAAAATTGCACTAGGAAAATTTTTTCGGTCATTTTAATACACTACAGGTACAGTAGAGAGCGCCCTCTAGCGGCTACAGTAAAACTATGCCCATGGTTCGTTTTGTCGAACCAAAAAACCCTTGTATACCAATTTTCACTGTTATACATCAAATATTGTCCGAAATATTTAAAAAAAACTATTTTAGAAAGTAAATTTAAACACCCTGTAATTCGGAAGCCACGCATTGTTTGACCCATGTTTATATATATAGACTTTATGCATTAATTTTAAAAGTTCTATCGAATCTTAAAGTTATGCAACAATAAACTGAAACACCCTGTATAATTGATTCAATTCAGAGTAAAAAGTGGGGTACATCTTACATTTCCATAACTGTCCTCTCATAGATAGTAGCCAGGTGATTGTATCATTTGATATATCAAGCACCCCATGTTTTTGACTTGAATTGAATTATTCTGTTGATAACTTAAATTTTATTATAATTTTATTTTGAGGTCATTAATTATCATTGATTGTTCGACCATCTACTACTGCACTAACTTGAAAAAGTATCTGCCTTCGTTGTGCTGTGCCGAGTGCCTGAACCAACAAAGAGTAAGTCCGAAACTGTACGCATGCGTAGATCGCGCGCTACCTCTATCTCTCTTACTCCCCTACACAGGATCTATAAAAGAATTTATCGATCCTGGCGGTCCTAATAAGGATAATGGAAAACTGTTATCAAATTATTGCACTGTCATCGGTCCTTGATACGAAGTTACAAATTAACCAAACTTCGGGAAACTAGTGAAAATGATGCTCAAAGAATCCGTTACATACATACATACATACATACATACATACATACATACATACATACATACATACATACATACATACATACATACATACATACATACATACATACATACATACATACATACATAGAGGCCAAGCTAATAGAAGCGTGTTAATAACGATCTATCAGGGAAACGGTGCTTAGATCTGAGTGTCCAGGATTTCTGGAGCATGTCAACCAATTGTGCTACAAGTCGAAGGCACGACGGGATCAGATTCAATGACCTATTAAGGAGCTTGATCCTGGATCCGACACGTTATACAGTATTCAGGTGATTTCCCTAAAAACAATCCTGTCGATACTGAAACTGCCACGATTAGGTTTTTACGACGTTTCACCTGAAACCTTCTTAGCGGAGCCGTAATCCGATCAACTTCGGTAGCATTTTTACTTTAAAATATTTCAGATAGCAAGGTGACAAAGGAAATTGGTAGAGAAATGGACAGAGGAAGAGTTTATTCTGGTGGCTTATCAAATTCGATGTGACGTAAAATGGATATACCCTTTTAGCTTTATAATTCAGAGATATTGATTTTTGATTGTCCATTTCACCGTTTCGGAAGTCGGGTCTTCGGAATGAAAATCATTTCAACTTGCCTTATTTATGAAAAGGTGTGAATAAAATAATCATGTCAAATGGACTGCTGTCATGTTTTTATTACTAGAAGCCGAGTCACCGCTGCGACCGCTGGAGACAGTCGATTCTGGTGCTATAGAGGACACGGTCTACTCGCCATGGAACAAAAAACAGAGATCCAATCTTGGACAGGTGTTTCGTGCTCTAGGCTTAGTCTCAGGTAGGCATCTATAGGCCGTAGTGGAGACGTCAACTGGGAGACAGTTCCCACAGACAGGTTGCTGTTTTCTCTTTCACAGTGGTCGATTCTGGTAACAGATGGCACTTTTCGCTGTCGTATTTCGACCTTACTCATGTTTTATGATACAAAAGAACTCTTCCTCCAGCTAATCCAGCCTGAGTTCCTCTCATCATCACAACGCATCGCATTTATCCGCCGCTTCCTTAACCCGATGCGCCTCTTCATTATCTAGCTGCTAAGATGTTCTCCCTTAGGACCGATACGTTACTTAACATCGCGCGCAAAGGGTTTTCTTGCGGACGCAGCTACATCCGGTTTGCTAATTAGCCTCCGCGAACTACAGCCGGAGAGGCTAATTTGATGGTCGCTCCCGCGGGAATTGACTGATGAGAATAGGAAGAAAAATCTGCGGTCTCTACTGACTAGGATATTTATATTAGAAGAGGGCATAGTCACAGTATATACCTACGACAGTAGAATCACTCTCGCTACTATTTTTCAGACGAGTCGCGGATTTGACGCTACCAGTACAACATCAGTAAATTTAGTGTTAAGTCATACAAAAGAAAGATGTCGATAATTTATTATTGTCCTTTGCTAAAAGTATCAGAACGTAGGTGTGATCTTTGACAATTCTCTAAGCTTCAGTTCCCATATAGAGCAAATTCTTCTAGCCGTCAATAATAACACTGATCAACAGCCAAAAAATATCCTAAATAAAATCAACAAAATATTACTATTTTTAATGTGCTAAAACCGGAATGAAACTTATTTTTTCAATATTAGTTCAAGTTTTAGAGATACGGTAATTATATGTGTTCCTGCTGTGACAGTGTACTGTAATTCACAAGAATGCACGTGCTACATTTTTATATTCGGCAAGGAAAGATAATGTAATCGGCATGATTGTGTTACGTTATACATACGTGTACATTATATTGTTTTGTATTAGCCATTTTTTCCTCAGTTGGCTGACAGCGTTCATGCAAGATGTCTCGAAAGTGTGTAAACAATCCAGATCAGTTTTGTTACGTGTGTGGTGATGTGACTTTTGCGACTCAGAGACGGTCTATTACTCCACTAATAACAAAGGCATATCAGCTTTATTTCGGTTGTAAACTAGGTGATCAAGACAAACAGTGGGCACCCCACATCTGCTGTAATACATGTGCTTCAAGTCTGAGGAGCTGGTTAAATGGCAAAAAACGGTCTATGCGCTTTGCTGTCCCAATGGTTTGGAGAGAGCCTACAAATCATATTAATGATTGTTACTTTTGCATGGTACCTTGTGTTGGACAAGCCACAGGTATGTCCAAGAAAAAAAAATCGGTAATTAACTACCCAAACATACCATCTGCGATGAGACCTGTGGCTCACAGTGACGAAAATCCTATTCCAAAACCCCCAGAATCCTACACTTGCGAATCAGAAAACGAATCAGATCATGGCGATCGAGTGATTCGTCAGGAAGAAGATATGCCATCAACGTCAAGAGATCCTGATTTTATACCGAGCACGTCATGCCACCAACCGCACAAAATAACACAGTCAGAATTAAATGATCTTGTAAGAGATTTAGAACTTCCAAAATGTAAGGCATGTGTTTTTCGTAAACGCCACAAAGACTTAGAACCATTTTTCAGTATGGAGAATAACTTGGTTTTCTGCAGTAACATTAACGGCTTACTGGCGGCTTTAAATATAAACTATAACCCAGAAGAATGGAGATTGTTTATAGACAGTTCAACATTGAGTTTAAAGGCAGTGTTATTGCATATTGGAAATATTTTACCATCTCTTCCTGTAGGGTATGCAGTTCACATGAAAGAATCATATGACAATATGAAGTACCTATTCACATGCATAAAATACGATGAGCACCAATGGCATATTTGTGGCGATTTGAAAGTTGTTGCACTTTTACTTGGGCTGCAGCTAGGCTACACAAAGTTTTGCTGTTTTTTTGTATGAATGGGACAGTCGGGCAAAGGCACTTCATTACACCAGACAAAACTGGCCTGTTCGTCAATTCCTAGAGCCAGGTCAAAAAAATGTACAGCATATGCCATTAGTAGATTCGAAAAAAAATTTATTACCACCACTGCATATCAAGTTGGGCCTAATGAAAAACTTGGTCAAGGTATTAGATAGAGACGGGTCAGCTTTTCAATACCTGCGTCAGAAATTTCCAGGACTAAGTGAGGCAAAGGTTAAAGAAGGTATTTTTGTTGGGCCACAGATTCGAAATATTTTGAAAGATACACAGTTTGAAAACACTTTAACAGGTATTGAAAAAACTGCTTGGAATGATTTCCGTCTGGTGGTCACTAATTTCTTGGGAAATAGAAAAGCTGACAACTATAAAACCCTTGTCAAAAATATGCTGTCATCGTATCAAAAGATGGACTGTAATATGTCTCTTAAGATACATTTCCTACACTCACACTTGGACTCTTTTCCTGACAATTGCGTAGCCGTAAGTGATGAGCACGGCGAACGTTTCCATCAAGATATTTCAACAATGGAAAAAAGGTACCAGGGAAAGTGGAATCCTTCCATGCTTGCAGACTACTGTTGGACTCTTGGCAGAGATGCTCCAGAAACGATCCATAAAAGAACAACAAAAAGACAGCGCATATAGTGATTCTTATAAGTATATGAATCTTGTTACTTTTTTTAATATATCCTTAAAAATAAAAAGTTTTTTTTCTAAACCGCAACTAATTTTTTTATTTCATTGTCATTTTTGGATTCAGCGCCCCAAAATTAACAAAGAAGTGCACTTTTTCCACAAGATACAATTAAAAAACTAAAATTTGTTGTCCAGTGATAATTTATTCACAATGTTTGTACAACTTTAGTGAATAAATTCAAAAAGAAAAACCATAAAAGGATAGTGTAGGTATACATAGTATAAGTCTATTCCAAATAATGTGATCTCATTTTCTTATAGGCATATTTTTTATACAATCTCAAGATTGTGATATTTATTTTCTCATTATAAGTGAAACTTGTTATTTTATAATCTGGTAGATGTGTTATCCAATCTTTTATTGATAAATATAGGGTTTTGCATTAAGGACTTTCTTTTTAAATAAATCGCAAACCATTTGAGATATCTCGAAAATTTTATTATTGGGTTGATGTATACTCATTGTATGGAAATCGACCTGGTTCATTTGAAACCACGGGCACGTTCGCAGGTATCGATTCGTTGAACCCAAACTTCAATGACTCGGTCACACATTTCGAAGGAAACGGCCGCTATCTCTCGTTCAATATTGGCTCTGGGCTCATCTAACGACGCCGGCTTGTGGGCATAGACCAATGATTTAATGTAGCCCCACAAAAAAGCCTAGAGGTGTTAAATCACACGATCTAGGCGGCGATTCGACAGGACCATTTCGATATAACACGTTCACCGAATTTTGATTTCAATATGTCGATTGTTTCGCCTGCTGTGTGGTTTGTGGCACCGTCTTGTTGAAACCACATATCATCAATGTCTAGCCCATCCACCTGACCAAAAGATAACGTTGCCGTTGACTGTAACGTGACGGTCATTTCCATCAAAGAAAAAAAAACGGCCCAATGACACCACCGGGATGATGAAAACCACACCATAAAGTTATTTTTTGTGGATGAAGTGGTGTTTCGTGAAGCACATGAGGGTTTTTACCTGACCAATAACGCATATTCTGTTTTTTGACGAAGCCGTTTAGCCCAAAATGCGCCTCATCACTGAAGATGATTTTGCGATGAAATTGATCAGTTTCTTGCAACATTTCTAGAGCCCAATTCGAGAACGTGCGTCGGTTCATATCATCGAACGACTTTAGTTCTTGAGTTAGCTTGATCTTTTAAGGGTGCAGACCAAAATCTGTTTGTATAATTCGCCATAGTGTGATCTGAGCGATGCCCAATCCTTGAGAACGCCGTGGAATCGACGTGATCTGTTCGTTTGGGACAGCAGCAATATTCTCGGCACTTCGACGAACCCCTGTCTTATTGGCACGGGAACATCCGGCAGCGAATATGTGGACTCAAATTTTTTTACTAGGCTATGAATTGCTTGTCTACTGGGACGAGAACCAAAAATTGGCGTTAACGCTATTAAAGTTGCAGTCACCGACTCGGAATTTCGGTAGTAAATTCTAACTAAAGCGTTGTTCGTTCGTGTACTTACTTCACCATGATGAAAATGTTTTCTTTATTGAATGTTTTGACATTAACTTAATGGTGAGCTCACAGTGAAAGTTCAAAGTTGTCAAGTCCCTATTGGAAAACCCGATAGATCATTCGGATTTGTGATACGGAATTCCAAGGAGTTTACTAACAAGAATGATCATGCTTTTCAATCTGTTCGTATTATCTAAATAATAGTATGCAAAGATAGTATGGAAACCCAGCTATGTGACTGCATGTGAAGTTTTTCACATATCTGTCTGTTAGAACTCCTCAGGCCGAGCTATTGCAAAAACATAATTTTGTTAGTTTACTCAATCTGAAATCACGATCTCTTGTAGAAAATAGTCCGTGGTATCTACGACTGTTTATCTTCACATCACTGTTAAGGTTCAATACCCCAAATATTACTCGAAATACGCGTACCTTTTACCTCCCTACCCCACGAACTAACTTTGTACTTAATGTGTTCATGTTATAATAGTCTTCAGGCTATTTTGATATATCTAATACGAATTCAACCAAACATTTAAAAATATGGCTTAGATACATTACATTGTTATGTTGCTGTACTCCCACCAAATAATTAAATAACGCAGCTGAAGAAACGGCGCTCACGTGTTGCGGTGACTTGTGCATTGTTCAGTACTGAAATCTAATATCTAATTATACGAGGGTCATTTTACGCCTACTGGCGAGGAACTATTGTAATCGCGGAAAAAAACATCAAAAATGCGAATATTTGGATGTTACATGGTTACATGGCATGTAAATTAAGAAAAAACATGTCACTCACTTCCGTCGATATGTCTGTGCTCTAATGATTTTGATGAAATTTTCACACAAGGTAATATGTCAAGAACAAAACAGCGAAAATCGATCTAGTGATGGCGGAGAAACATGTCAAAATCGAAACGAATAAAACTTATTTTTTTTTTGACGTTTCAGTGGATCCTGATTGTTCTCTATTGATTTAGATTCGCTGGAAAAATTCGATAAAACAGAAGCGCTGGACTGTAGAGGCGCTGATTATATTTTATGCGCAAATATAAAAATTCCTGGCAGCCATACAGACACAGATAGAGTGAGGCATTTACTTGGGGGCTATCTTCCTTCTCCTGCATGAGCTGGAGACCATCAGCGATAGCACTTCCTAGTAGTTAGAGTTTGGACTCATCTTGGTGATTTAATGAATTTTCAGATTCTGGTTATGAGCACGTGTATAACGGACTTGGATTTTCGGGTGAGAGTATTTGATCTCTCTTCCCGTACGCCATCTCACTGGAAAATGTATGGCAGCGCGACAAAATTTGAAACTAAAACAGGGACACGCAGTTGTATGAACACCGATTACCTTTGAAAACATTTTTAGGGGTTTCGATGTTAGTATATTAATACATTTTCAACCCTGATAATTCTGCGCACCTATTAAACATATTTATACACTTTTTCGTACATTTACCTATAAAACTTTTTTCATGAAAAGTCCAATAGTGCATTAACGCTGTTGTACTACGTGGAACTATTAGAAGTTGCTTCGAAGGCGAGGGAAGTATAGTCAATCTACTTGACACCATTTTTTTGTAACTTTAGAAAAGCTTTATTTATGAATGTAGATTGTATCACGAACTAAAATAACATGTTTCCAGTTTACACTGGAAGTGTGACACAAATCTACTATGTCAATAATAAAACAGATTTTTTATATGTTTCCAGCCATAGTAGAGAAATCAGTAAAAAACAAAAAATTAAAAGTAAATAAGCTTAGTTTTGTCTGTCTTTTTTTTTGAAAAAAGTGTGCATGAGTCAACTCAAAAAGATCTAATATTAGTTTCTCTGGTCACATCAGGACATAGTAACGGGTGATTTTTCAAGAGGTACACTCTTTCCAACATATCGGCCGGTATCTCACGAATATTGGCTTCCAGTGCGTCAATCGTTGCTGGTTTATGCCTGTAGACATTAGCCTTAATATGGCCCCACAAGAACTAGTCCAACGGCGTTAAATCACACGATCTAGGCGACCAACTGACGGGCCCCAAACGTGAGATAAACTGTTCATCGAACTCGCCTCTCAATAGGGCCATTGTTTCGTATGCGGTGTGGCATGTGGCACCGTCTTGTTGAAACCACATGTCAGCCAAGTCGAGCTCTTCCATTTTGGGCAAAAAAAAGTTTGTTATCATCGCACGGTAGGGCTCGCCATTCACAGTTACGTTCCGGCCATTGTCGTCTTTGAAGAAGTACGGCCCGATGATGCCACCGGCCCATAATCCACACCAAACAGTGATTTTTTCGGGATGCATTGGTAGCTCTTGCAATGCTTCTGGCTGGTCTTCACTCCAGATGCGGCAATTTTGCTTGTTAACGTACCCATTCAACCAGAAATGAGCTTCGTCGCTGAACACAATTTTTCGATAAAAATGTGGATCTTCCTCCAACTTTGCCAGCGCCCATTCACCAAATGGGAAACGTTGTGGGAGATCGTGTGGCTTCAATTCTTGCACCTGTTGTATCTTATAAGGTTTCACACCCAAATTCTGTCGCAAAATTTTCCACGTAGTGGAGTAACAGAGACCCAACATTTCACGGTCATCACTAACACTGGCGGATACAGCCGCAATATTTTCTTCAGTCCTCACTCTACGTCTGCGTGTTAGTGGTTTAATGTCCAATTATGTAAACTGGGTTCAAAATTTAGTCACAAGCTTCCGAATAGCTCCCTCAGTAGGCCGACCAAATTGCCCATAAATTGGAAGCAGTGCTCGATGCACTCTCTTAACCGAGCATGAATTTTGATAGTAAAATTCAATAATTTGCAAGCGTTGTTCGTTCGTAAGTCGATTCATGGTTAAATTATAGACCAAACTGAACAAGTTTGACAATGACACAAGACACGATTCACGTGTCATCTGTCAAAAACAGTGTTGCCAAAAAGATACTAGCAAAAAAATCACCCATTAAAAAGAATTTAAGTTGCTCGAACATTTTGTTATCACGCAGAGATACAGATATCGCTAGTAACGCCTATAATTTCGTGTGCCTTAAATTTTCCTGAGACAAATGCAGCAATTTCACTGTTAAGAAATTTTTGCAAAATTCATCGATCCTCATAGTCAGTCAGTCAGTTACGTGCAAAGCGTCGATGTGCTTATAGATACTAATTTTAAGAAGTATCATGTCTGCCAACTTTAAAAACTATATTAAACAAAATAAGATCTCTCTCAAAAATTTCCCCATAACATCAAAATAATGACGGCTGGGACTACTTTGATACATTGCGGTAAACAAAGTGAAGCTTCCACTTAAACGTGCTCAATATTGACCCACCCGGTACATTGTCCACCGATATCGTATTCCTTCTACGTAGTAAATATAAATTGAAATAAAGGAAGTAGTGATCGATTCCGATATGAAACTTCACGTTCTGAATATAGCCATTTTTCTCTCTGGTAAGTTGGACGTTGCACCCTGAATCGAAGCTCTCATTAAAGGGCAATATAAATCACTGCTTTTAATCATACCTCGCCTGTGCAGTTCACATCAATCATAGTTTTCCACAAGAGAGTATATCCGACAGAAGGACGATTTTTCATTCGAGATTGTCGCCTTGAAGAAAAACCTCCAGATTCTACTGTTACTAGAGATGAGCAGAGCAAATCTTAAGCAGTTACAAATGGTTACATATAGCTTTAAATAGTTTTTAGGAAATAAGTGCCGTCAGTTCCTCTAAGGGGCCGTTCAAGTATTACGTGAGCATTATGGGGGTGCGGGGGGTCTCTGCTTTGCCTATTTTGGATGACATGGGGGGTAGGGGAATCTAGATGCTGATTACGTCATCGGTAGTTATTTACTTTTTTACACGAATGGCAACCCTCACATTGTCTTTGCTTGAAAACGAAACGCATTTTCGGGGATTGCCGCAAATAATGCATACGTTTAGTGAGCAGCGCGCGGTAATTCCCCAACTCGGTTCTAAAGCGAGCAGTGGCGGCTCGTGAGGTAGTGCCACGGTGCCATGGCACTACCTTGTCTTCTTCAAAAAGAATATTTTTTTCAATCTTCAATGTTTTACTTTATTTTCTGCTTTTTCATTTTTTTTGGTATAAATTATATGAAGTGACAACACTGACAACGTGACAACACCGCAAGCACCCGACCGACGCGACGAGACGAGCATGCCTTGACCTTGACGTCATCAACTTGTGCCAATTTAGGGCCGGTCCAAATAAAAAGAGAGAAATTTTACCAGCATCGCATACGAGCGACAGAGATAACGCTACGCATGACATGTTTATATGAGGTGAATAGCGAAAGACAAGTATAATTTGTGCCAGGCACATCATCAGTCGTAATTCGTTATCAAATGATATCGGCGGTGTTTTTGTTCGGTCGGTCGTTTGGTTATGATTACGTCTAGTGCTGATTTCGGTCTTTTTTTACCTGAAAAGTGAGAAATAACGTTTTTGTTTTTGTACGTCTAGTGTTAATGAACTGCTCTGTTTTGTGATCATATTTTTTACTGTTTTATTAAAACTAGTGAAAATGAATAAAATCGGGATATTAAAAAACTCACTTAGTGGTTTTTCGCTGGATCAAAAACTGCAAATTAAAGAATTAGGACGGCCAATACCCGATTTAAAAATTGAGAAACAAAGTGGTAGCGGACAAAAATCGCGCTGTCGCAAATTTAATAAAAATGTGTATGATAAAAACAGCTGTATATGTGGTTGTGAAGAAACGAATAAACTATTTTGTTTTGTATGTGTTCTATTTGGAGGTGACGAGACTTGGTCAAAAAAAGGTACAGACGATCTTATACATATATGGGATAAAATGAAGACCCACGAAAAATCTAAAGTCCATATGAATAATGTTTTTAGCTTTTCTATTCTTGGTAAATTAAATATAAGGACTCAACTCAATTCGGCTTATCGCAATGATCTAATTAAATATAATAATCAAGTGGATAAGAATCGATATGTATTGAATAAAATTATTAATTGTATAAGGTTTTGTGGAGCATTTGAGTTAGCCTTAAGGGGTCATGATGAAAAGGAAAATTCGGAAAACAGAGGCATATTTAAGGAGCTGGTGAATTTTAGCGCCGAATTAGACAACGAATTGAAAGTCCATATTCAAAGTGCCAAACTTTTTGAGGGTAGCTCAAAAACAACTCAAAACGAGCTTCTTGAGTGCATGCTAGATGTTTATCATGAAGAAGTTAAGAAGGAGATTGCAAATTCTCCTTTTGTTGCAGTAATTGCCGATGAAACGACGGACGTAGCCTGTGAATTTCAGTTAGTTATTATTTTCAGATATTTGTGTAATGGACAACCAGTTGAGAGATTTTGGAGATTTTACGTCCCCGACGGACACGATGCCAAATCAATCGCTGCATGCGTTTTAAATGTTGCAAATCCATTACTAGATCAAAATCCAAACAAATTAATAGCTCAAAGCCATGATGGTGCGTCTGTTATGAGTGGTGAATTGAATGGCGTTCAAAAAATTATTAAGGAAACTTATCCACTTGCAAATTATGTTCATTGCTATGCACACCAGTTAAATCTAATTATGACAAGCGCATGCTCTGTCAATAAGCAGGCTAGAATATTTTTCCATAATTTATCTGGATTGTGCTCTTTTTTTTCGACGTCTCCTCAAAGAACAAAAATTTTGGATGAAATAGTTAATCGCAGATTGCCAAGATCTTCCCAAACACGTTGGAATTTTCAGTCACGAGGTGTTCATACAGTTTATGAAAATAGGAAAGACCTGATTAAAGTTATGGACAATATAGAAAGTACTTCACGCGATTCTTCGTCGATTAATCAAGCCAGTGGGTACAAATTAAAGCTGCAAGATACAAATTTTGTATTTTGGCTAAGTATTTTCCATAAAATAATGCCACATGTTGAAATTGTCTTTAACCAATTACAAAAAGTACGCACCGATTCTGTTAAGGTCAAAAATGATTTAGAGAATTTTGAAGCAGCAATTCAAACTATACGAGAACAAATGGATAGCATTATTGACGAGATTGAACGAGTGCAGAGAGAAACTGATGAACCGGCAAGAAAAAAAAGGCAAGTTGAAGAAGGCAGCAAAAAACGGGAAGCGTTAGAAATATGCGATGCAGTATTATCGCAAATAAGAACAAGATTTAACTTTTCTGGACATTTAGTTGCTTCTAATTTATTTGTGTCTGAAAAGTTTTCTGTTTATAAACATCAGTTTCCTGAAGCACATTTAAATGACACATGCACACAATTTTCATTTTTAGACAAAAACAGGCTTAAAACTGAGTTACAAGTATTATATCAGAGAGAAGAATTGAGTACTACTTCTGGAGCTGTTCCACTATCCATTTTATTGAACGAGGAAGGATTAAATTGTACGTTTCAAGAAACTCTTAAGCTCTTAAGTATTTTAATCACTATACCGATGTCAACATCTGAAGCAGAACGCTCTTTTTCAATGCTGAAACGGATTAAAACTTTCCTCAGAAACACAATGAAGGAAGAAAGGCTTAGTGCTTTAGGAATGCTGTCTGCAGAAAAACATTTTGTTAGTGGCATTGAATATTTTAATAATAAGGTAATCGAAAACTTTGCTACCAAAAAAGAAAGAAGAATGGACCTCATATATAGAAAACTATAGTTATAGGTACTTCTCCACACTTGTTTTATAATTTGGTGCGCGTGTGTAAATAGTTTTATTTTTGATTTTTTTTTGGACATATAGATTTATTGAACCTCAAGAACTTTGACCACTAACTATCAGGGGTAAGTTATAAGTTATTCTTTACAATTTTGAATCGATTCAAAATTATGGCTTCCATTCTGGCACTACCTCACGGAATTGGCACGAGCCGCCACTGAAAGCGAGTAGGGGAATTACCGCGCGGTGTTCACTTGTCTAAATTTCCTCTATCAGTGTATTGTTTCGTTTGGATACAAAGCGAGTAGACGTATTGTAAGCATAGTAAAGCAAGTTAACGTTTGTGTTACCATTGATTCCATTAGCCAAAGTTTAATGTTTAAATAAGATGTTGTTTCACATAGACAAATCTAAGTTATACCAAAAATTGTTTGAAAGTTTTAAAAAATCTCATACAAGTACGAAAGTACAAAATGTACAAAAGTTAGTTAACGAAGTGTGGCGAAATTACAAATTACAAGCAAAATCCGACAAGGAACTAGATATTATTGTATCTAAGAGAATCGAAGAAAAATTTAGATAGTAGATGCTGCTTTGCGTAACTTTGTAGTAAATTAGCACAATTCGATGTGTATACGATTGGTGATGGATATAGGATCATGTGGGGGTGGGGTAAGAAATATATAATGATGTAAATATACATAAGGGTTTCAAAATTTTCGCTTCGATTTCCAGCTTCGGATGCCGCCTGATGTTTGGTGAAATACAGTCGAATATAATCTCAAAATGGCGTTTAAATTAGCCTAAATTAAAAATAATCGTATATCTCTTAAAATTGCTTTTAGAATATTGATTAGTATATTTTTTGATTTCTAGGTAAATATGTAACCAAATTAAAACGTTCAAAACGTAAAAAAATGTGCATGGTTGAACATTGTCAGAAAGTAGATTCTTGAATAGGTTTTGCCAAAATGGGTTCAAAAATGTCAATAATTAATTAAAAAATACAGTAGCTTTATAATTACTTATAACTTACCGAATTTGATGAACGACATCTTTTATTGGAAAGATGAGCTTGATGAGCTTTCATCATCGCTACTGCCTGAAGCACCAACGTCAATAATGAATGGCTCGACTTGTTCCTCTAAAATATTGTCCAGTTTCCACATTCTCTTTTCAACTTTGTCTTTCACGTGCTTAATACAGTTTTCCCATTTTTGCGCTGTTATTAATTCTAGTGCTTCTTTGAAAAGTCCTTTGAGGTCACAAAATTTAAAAGTTGTATTGTGCTTAGCTATATAATTTTTAACCTCTGCCCATATGAGCTCAATGGGATTGAGCTCGCAATGGCATGGAGGTAAACGGAGCACAGTTTTATTTTGACTTGCTGCCATTTCGTCAATGGCGTATTTTTGATATTCCGTCTTGTGATCCTTGACAATTCTTAATAATTGTACTCTCAGCATTGCTTCTTCAAAGTTGATATTTTTCGAGCGGAGCCAATTTTGAACATCAACTTTCCTTGAAGCCGTTGTTGGGACCTTCTCCATTCTTCGAGAATGATAAGGCGCATTATCCAACACAATTACTGCGTTTTCCTCTAAGTTCGGTAAAATGTTTGAAAACCACTGTTCAAACGATTCGCCATTCATTTCCTCGTGGTAATCTCCAGTTTTCTTAGACTCAAAGCACCACAGACCGTCAACAACAAATCCATCCTCACTGCCAATATGGCAGATAATGAGCCTTTTCCCTTTACCTGGAAATCGAAGTACTAACTGGTGTAGATTTATTTCAATAAGCGAACCTTTTTCAAATGTTTTCATCACATTCAGCGAAAAAACATTGAAACATGAGTATCAGATTGCTTTAATTGGGATTATTTAGTCATATTGAAAGAAAGAATATTGAACGTCGTATGATTACTCAGCGCTTCACAATTTAATTTAAAGTTATAAACCTTTAAAAAATGAATGATCAGGAACCTGAAATACGCGCAAATATTAATATTAACAAATTATAACTTTATAAAACTTAAAGTATGAATTAAAATGATTAGAAATATTAGGAACGGTACACAATATAAAACTTAGTAACTTTTTTTAAGTTTATAATATTTGACATATTTTAAGATTATATTAAAAAATTATTGAAATATCGAAAACACATAAAAACATGGCTTAAAAAAGTTCTAACAAATGAAAATGACAATAAAACATCCACGCATTTTATCGAAAGTTATAAAAGTTTTGTTACTTGTAATATGTTTTATCCGCCCCCTGGAATTAATGTTTAGAACCTTGTTCCCAAGATTTGAAAAACATCCGATTGTTGTCTATTACTCGTATTTACCTGCTGGATTTTTTAATCCGGTGGACAGTCCATCTAGAAAGGCCCTCCTGGATGAAGTTACAGACTCATCAACCCATACTTTACTTGTAGTGTGTCCTGCGTTTACCCTCGTTTCATCAAGGTAATAAATCTTCCTGTTTTGATTTCTATATTTCTCAATTTTTGTTAAATAATCCCTCCTCCATAGCACAATTTCTTCTCTATCCAGTAGTAAACTATTACGACCCCGTTTTTTCCATTTGAAATTTAAATGCTTCAGTAACGCATGGAAAGTTCATCGTTTGAAATTTGGCAACGTTGTATCTCCATTTACCTCCTGCAGTACTTTATCTATAGTAGGTATTTCATTCCTAAAGAAGAATTCATGCACTTTCCTCCTAATCGCATGCTTATCAGCTTCATCCAATGATTTAACAATACTTTTGCGGTGTTTACTGGTCATTGGCTCAGAAAAGGTGTGATTTTTTTTGTATTGTCTTAACACATTAAACACTGATGCGCGACACACCCCAACTTTGTGAGAAACCTTCACAACAATTTCTTTGATGGTTGATGCCTCGTTCTCCTCGCGCTCGATCTTATATATATTCAAAATGACCTCTTTCATTTCTGCACTCAGGTGTCTTTTTTTAGAGCGTTTCCTAGGTGGACTACAGGAGTTTACAACTTCATCGGCAGGATCTGTACTACTGGGCATTTTGCGCAAGCAGTTGATAACAATAACAATCAATAACAAGGTATAACAATAACGACAAACTCAACAACTTAATAAGATAACAAACGAAAACGTCCAAAGAAATATCAAATTGCAATGATGCACACGACATACGTAACACGTCTGAACCTGAATGTGACTCTGCCTTGATACGACTGCTCTGCCGCTCGGCATAGGCATTTAATTGCGAATTGACCAATGAGGGCTCCTGTTTTACATCGAGACGGCGGCGTTAGCGTGAAAATCACCCGAACCTTTTGTTTACATCCGGTCTATCTCTTATTTGAATATACTGTAGCTTGTTAAAAAATTGGTAGACGGGACGGGACGCTTTTGAAAAGCATAGTTTAGAAATATATTGCCTGGAACAAGATATCATATAAAACTTGAAATGATTCGGCGAGTGTTCATCTCTGACTGTGAAGAAACTCCACTAACGCCGGTGGAGTTTTTATAGTTTTCAGCTGACCCAATTCCCTGGTGCTTTACTGCTCGCCTGTCGTCGCGTTCCTAGAGTTAAAACGGAGATGACAACGCTCTTTAAAGTTTTATTATCCCACAGTACCATTATAGAGGGAACGTCGGCAGAATGCCCCTGCTATTATTACCATTCGTTTGACACGTCACAGTCATCCGTCGCATCGTGCTTCAATTGCGAATGGCGCTTCCAACTACCGGTAAAATGAAGTTCACCTGTTTTAATTCCCAGCAAAAGCCAAAATGTGCTTGTTTCTTGCTGCAATGAGAAGTACCTACGAGGTCTGATTTTTTTTAATTTTTTATTCAAATACAATTATAATTTTATATTGTCAGCCTTAAAATAACTTCTCTCTAAAGCCATATTGCGCTAGAAACGGTTCTTATACTCCTCAGAGCAGTGCAGGAACTTCGATACTGGAATCGCTTTCAGCTGGTCGTTTACAGCCGTTGGAATGTTTTCGACTGTCCCAAAATGAGCCCTTGAGGTGATTTTTCAACTTCGGGAAGAGAAAAAAGTCACAGCGATTCAAGTCAGGCGAATTTAAGAAGCTGACGAGCCACAGGAATGTTTT